CGAGGGTTGCGATCCCGTTACCGGTCAGTAAAAAAAGACAAAAAGGAAAAAAAAAAAAAATCTTCTCACCAGGTGAACGAGATACGCACACAGGTTAGTCCAATTCTCCCATTTATGCCTTCATTGGACAAGCACTCACAGCTCCAGGACCTGAGTGGAGTCCTGAGGACTCAGAGAACAGACCAGTCCCTGCCCTTGGGCAGCTCACAGACCATTTTGCAAGAGAGATTCAGAAACAGACAAGTGATAAGTGCTCTGATGACAGAGGTACCAGGTATAATGGGAATTCCGAGAAGCTGCTCCTAGCCCAGATTTGAAGGTAAGGAATGACCTCCTGCCTATGTTGAGGGAAGAGAAGGAGTCAACCTGATGAAGCAAGGGGAGAGGAATTGCAGGTGGAGGGGACGGCATGTGCGGAGGCCTGGGAGCACAGCAGACCCTGCGCCTTGTTCTGAGGAAACTTGAGACAATCGGTTTGGCTGAGACTCAAAGTCTGAGGGGGGTGAAGAGAGACAGGGCTACAAAAGTAAGCATCAGTCAACTCAAGAAGTGTCTTGAATGTCAGGCTAAAAAGCTTGTGCTTGATTCTGTAGAAAATGGGGAGTTACTGAAGGTTGGTGAGCACGGAAGGGACAAGGGACAGAGTTTAAAATCTGAGTTTAGGGAAGGTGGCTTTGACTGCTGTGTACAGAATGAACTGGAGGGGCTGTGGGCCAGAGGTGGGAAACCGCAGAGACAAATGTAATCATCTGGGGGCTGAAGGAGGCTTGGACCATGGCAGAGTGGATACAAGGAAATGGGTGGTTGTGAGTTATTCAGGGGATCAGATGGACAGAACTTGGTGATGGATGGGATGCTGGCTGGGAAAAAACAAGAAATCGAAGATGACTGCCAGGTTTCTGGGCCAGATGACTGGGGCTGTGGTAGTGTCTGTCTTCAATGAGATGANGGGATCCGAACCCTTGGCGGGAGCGCCACCACACTTCCCAAGTGGCGCACTGTAGCAGTGCACCACCGGGCAGGCCCTGGAATTTGTTTTAAAATATTCCCAGAAGGGCCAGCCCTGTGGCTCACTCGGGAGATTAAGTTGCTGAGGCCGCGGGTTCGGATCCTATATAGGGATGGCTGGTGCGCTCACTGGCTGAGTGTGGTGCGGACAGCACCAAGCCGAGGGTTGCGATCCCCTTACTGGTCAAAAAAAAAAAAAAGTATTCCTGGAAAACTGCGACTACATGCTAATTTACACCTCAAAGTCAGCTTCCCAGGAACCCAACCCAGGAGAATATATACTCAGGAAACCCCTCTGACTCCCCACCCCTGCAGTCTACACAGCCCCCACAAGAGGCCCAGCAGAGGTAGCCTCTTCCTTCCAGATACAGGACCAGAATGTGAGGAGTCCTGGGTAGAACCCTCGCTTAGCCCAAAGCCTTTGCCCTTGGTGCATCCAGTACCCAACATCCTGGCTCTTCCTACTTCTCTGCCATCTGTCCAATCCCTGGTCCCCCTGTGACACCCACTCTCTTGGCCCTCATCCCAAACTTGAAATCACCCAAAATGTAACTAGCCAGGTCTCCTCTGGGCCCTGGCTTACACCTCCACAACTGTACTGATGATGTT